TTAATATGACAGGGAGAGAGACAGAGGCGTTAATATCACAGGGAGAGTGAGTCGGGTTAATATCACAGGGAGAGAGAGAGAGGTAATTAATATCATGGAGAGAGGGAGAGAGTGGGTTAATACGACAAGGTAAGAGACAGGGGTTAATAATATGGTGAGTGATAGATGGGTCTAATATCATAGTGAGAGGTGGGGGCTAATAACACAGGGAGAGAGAGAGAGAGAGAGAAAGAGAGAGCGTTGTGTTAATATCACAGGGAGTGTGAGGACGAGAATGGCTAGTGACACAAGGAGAGACATAGAAAGAGTGAGGGGTTAATAACATAGGGAGAATGAGAAAGGGGGTTAATATTACACAGAAAAGATGAGTAGGGGTTAACATTCACAGAGAGAGTGAAGGGTTAATCTCAGGGAGAGGATGACAGAGTGAGGGCTTAATATCATTGGGGAGAATAAGAGAGAAGGCACGAGGTAAATATCACAGGAAAATAGCAAGAATGTGAAGGTTCAGTATCATAGAGACAGAGAGAGGGCTTACTGTCACAGAGCGTGAGAAAGAGTGAGGGGTTAATACCTCAGGGAGAGAGAGCATGGTTCAATATGTGTTAGACAGTCATTGAGTTAGTGCGAAAAGAGTGGCTTGCATGTTTAGTCATTCTGTATTTTAATGAACAATATTTGCTAATGTTGATAACCAGTGAGCAAAGGTGAACTGAAAGGTTTACTGGAGAGAATGATTGAATGGGTATTTGAGCCTGTGAGCAGATGACACAGACTGACTGCAAGGAAGACACTTACTAAATGTTGGGGGCAATGTGATGGATCTTGATGCAGTTCTTGTCAGCAACAACCATGTCATCCGTGGCCCGGGTATCAGAGCCCAGAATCAACCCATCCTACAGATGACAGAAAACGGACAGTCAGATGGTTAGGTGTCTGTCACTGCTATAGCCCCATCATTACTCTGTTACAGGAAGCTCAGAACTGGAAACTTTAAAACTGGATTTTTGGATTATATACTGCCCCAAGTGCTGCACACCTGGGTGTGAAAAAGAAAACATGAGACATTATTAATTGCCCTTACAGTTTTTCTACCTGACTCTTTTGCTCATGGAGAGGTGTCCCAGAGTTTAATTTTTAATCTGTGGAGAATTCACAGCAAGCTTGGAGAGCTGAAACCCTTTGTTTTTGGTGAGGGTTTACCTTGAAGATGATGCCAGCGATCGTGGTCCCTGTCTTCTTTGCTTTTGGGGGTTTGTAGCCCATCTGCTGCAGTTCGCTCTCCAATGCTGCATTCCTGAAAGGTACAGGAGATTTGAGATGAAGATGTTAGAGTGAAGGAGAGGGAGAGAGAGAGAGCAGGTGAGTGGCTGAGTTTGCAGACCCATTTAACACTGGCTCAGTGGGTGTCCTTCGTGCCAGACTCAGACGATTGTGGGTTCAGGTCTCACACCAGAGCCCTAAGCACTTACTCTAGGATTGCGCAAGGGACCGGCAATCGCAGGTGGATGTAATTAATCTTGTTGCAGTAATCCGAAGGAGAGTGGGGCAATTCTCCTAGATCCCCAGATACTGCTTATCTCTCAGCCACCATCACAGAAACAGATTGTCCCTTCGCTCGCTGTAGGAACTTGCTATGCACAGATTGGTTGCCATGATTCCTGCTTTACAACAGTGATTACTTGTGAAGTGCTTTCAAACATCCTGAAGTTGTAAAAAGCGCTATATAAGTGCAACTTGTTTTTCTTCTAAAATTGGAATTGATGGAGTTCTGCGCGGGTCAATTTCTAACCTTTTTTAAACTGCCGTCTCCCCTGGTGTCTTCCTTCTGACCAGGCCCTTGGAATGGCTGAATGATCTGACCTCAGACAAGGTCAGTGTTAACTGCTATAAACTGCTCCTCTGATGCTGCTTGGCCTGCTGTGTTCATCCAGCTCTACACCTTGTTATGTCAGATTCTCCAGCATCTGCAGTTCCTATTATCTCTGAAACAGTGTTAACTGCTGTTCTCTGACCTCCCCCTCACCTCCAAGCTGGACAATGTGGCCCAGTGGCGGTGGGATGGCGAAGGTCAGAATGGGATCTAGCTACAACTTGACTCTCTCACCTCAGGGTCAAAACAGTTGCAGACTTTCACTCCCTGCTGAATACGGTGCCAAAGAGAATGGGCGCTGGTGAGATGTACCCCCATGGGAGCAAACCCCACCAGGGGAGGGAGTGAGAGGAGAGAGGGGGGTAGGAGAGAGTGACAGTGGAAGTGAAAGCAGAGAGGGAGTGAAAGTTGAGGATGGTACAAGAGAAGGGATGGGGTATTGGGAAAGAGAGCCGGCAGGGACTGGGATCCTCCCTCCTTTACCCTGAGAATGAGGAAAAGGGGAATTTTGAATCAAGAACTATTCACTTTGATATTAGAGAGCTTTTCAGTCTGTGAGAATAATCCCCCATTTGATCACAATTTGTGAATACATTCCCCTCTGCCCCATGCTTATTCTGCTAGTCATTCAGGAAATGACTTACTTTCAGGTTCCATTTACCATACACCGTTTAAAATGTTTATCAGCGTCGGGAGGGCGTTGTACAGCCACAGATCCCCTACTCCTTCAGTCCAGTGTAATCACTCTGAGAGCCTTGTGCCAGTATCAGGACTGATCTCAGTAGCAGCCTGGGCACCAGGAACCCAACAACAAACAACGGAAGACCCTATAAACCTCCTGCCCAGCTTTAGCCTTCATTCTTTGTTTTGTACATGTTCCATGGATTACTCTCCTTGCAGTTACTTGCTCCCACTCACTCACCTACGGCAGTTCTCAAAGCTGAATCCCCCCACAGGGGTGTTCAGGAATCTCTCACACTTCAACATGTCGGTCTGGCCTCTTTCCTCTTCAGTTCATTTACTTTCACTTTCAAAAACTAGTGAGTAAAGCCTCATGTGATTACAGGGAGCCAAATTTGCCAAAATTGATCTTTGAACCAGAGTGAGATCAAAACTCAAATGTGCACCAATTATTTAACCATCTCTTGCTGCCAGAGCCCTGTCACAGCTGGGGGTCCAGTCACACTCACACTGTGGGTTTCTGAGATAGGATAAATTTAACTTTTCAAGTTGCAGGGGATTGGAAGGGAATAGACTTGGGGGCCACAGAATGGGGGAAAGGGATAAGCAGAGCTGATCAGTTTACACTAGGGTCTTTACTGTGCAAGTTACCGGATGTTGTTTGGCCTAGACTGTTCAGCTCCATCTATGTGCACGAGCACACACATCTGTATGTTTGGTCCCTCTGAATACCTGTGTGTGTTTGCCTTTGTGTTATCATAATGCAAGTATCTGTCTGGGTACCTGTGTTCATCTATATTTCCTTGCGCATGTGTAGTTTTATCTGGGTCTGTGTGTCAGTGTCTGTCTATCTATCTGTGTGTCGGCGTCTACCTATGTGTCAATGATTGTGAGTCTGACTGTGAATCAATACCTGTCTATCTGCCAGTCAGATTACGTATGTGAGGTGATGTATGTCCGTATACAAGTCAGTGTCTGCCTGTGAGTTAGTGTATCAGTGTCTGCGAATTGATGTCTATCTATGAGACTGTGTGTATTTGTCTCTGAGTTTCTGTCTGTCTGTGAGTCAGTGTCTGACTAAGAGTCAGTGCTTGTCTGTGAGTCAATGTCTGTCTGTCTTATGGGAAAATGTGGGAAAAAGGCTACTTAACAAGACAAGAACCCATGATGTTGGGGATAGTGAATTAACATTAGCTAACTAACAGACGACAGAGATTTGGGATAAAGGGGCATTTTCAGGATAACAACCTGTAACTAGTTGAGTGTCACAGGGATCAGTGCTGGGGCCACAATTATTTCAAACATATATTAATTACTTGGATGAGGAAAGTGAATGTACTATCACCAAGTTTGCAGATGGCACAGAAATATTTGGGAAGGCAAATGGTGACATTGAGATGAAGAACCTGCAGAGGGATAGACAGATTAAGTTAATGGACAAAAATTTGGCAGATAGAATATGATGTGGGTAAATCCAAGGTTATGCACTTTCACAGAAAAAATAGAGGAGCTGAATATTATTTAAATGGAGAAAGACAGCAGAAAGCTACAGCACAAAAGGGTTTAGAAGGCCTCACGCATAAATCAAGAAACACTAGCATCCAAGTTCAGCGGGTAATGGAGAAGGGTAATGAAATGTTGGCCTTTATTTCAAAGGGAAGGAAATATAAAAGTAGGGAGGTCTTGCTAAAACTATACAAGGCATTAGGCAATGGTCATATTCCCATGCTGCCCTTGTCCTTCTCAATGGCAGAGTTTGCAGTTTGGAAGTTGCTGTCTGGCAAGTCTTGGTGAGTTGTTGCAGTGTATCTTGTAGGTGTTACACACTGCTTCCACTGTACATCAGTGGTGGAGGAAGTGAATGTTGAAGGTGCTGGATGGAGTGCCAATCTTTGCTTTGAATGATGTCCATATCTGCTTTATTATTCTCACAGTATCAATGAAAAGCCACAGGAAGTTGGTGTGACCCTTACAGAAAATGCTCACAAATGTAAAGGCTATGTGTCAAAGTGTTCTCATGCAAGATTCTTTCCCACACTGTCTGTCTTCTCCCTCCAACATTTTGGAGTAGCACTAGTGTCATTGTGTTGCTGATGAAAAAGCTACTCCTCAAATGTAACACAGGCAGGTACATTTAATGTACAGCTACCTCACACAGAGGGCGCAGTGTGTGGGAGCAGCCTGCAGCAAGACTGAATGCTGTATCAACAGGCACCACCACCACACAACCAATTTGATTCACTTCCACATTGAGCCCAGCAGCTGGGTTTCAAATAAAAAGCCAGTTCTGTACCCCTTCAGGGGATATGGTGAACAGTGACTGTGTGCAACTCAGGGGCAAAGGATTGTGGGGTCAAGGTAACAAAATTGAATTCATCCAAAATAAAATAAGATTGTATATTTATTATCAAGAGGCAGGTATTCCCACTGTATAAGGTTTATTAAGTAATAACATTTCAATGATTCTATCTTAATTTAGTTTCCTTTAAGAAAAGAGAAACATAGAACCAAAACTCTACAAATGATGTAAAACAACAGGAGCTGTTTGACCCATTAAGCCTGTGCCTGCCCATAAGTAAAACGATCCAATTAACTTACCACACAGCCTTCAAATGATCTTTCAATATTCACATTCTCTTTCACACAAACCATTACTTTGCAATTAATTTTAACTATTGACACAACTCAATGGCACATTTTATCCATCCTGAATATTTCCTTCCCAGCACTGTTACAGTGTTACATTTGAAATAAATCTTTAACCCTCCTTCAAAGAAACAATAAGCTAAATGCTACAACGTCACAGAAATTCAATATTGGAAAGAGCAGATCACTGTGATACAAAATCACCCCTCCTCTCCTGAAGGTGCTGACTCTCCCTGGGGTACAGCTCCCCCTCCTCTCCTGAAGGTGCTGACT